CCTTCTTTTAGCCAAATCATTAAGTCCCCTTACCTTCCATGAAACTAGTTTGAACTTCATTGATCAACTAGTGTTAGGCTTTTCCCCCTAAATCTTTTCTTGTTGCTCTAGAATTTAACATCAAAGAAAACCAAATCTTCCAGCTCGTGTGCCCCTTTGAATTTGGTTTTCTTGATGTCTAGTGCTGGCTCCATCCTTCTAGCTTATCTACAGCTATCTATCTGCATAAGTAATTCCAAAGCTTCTTCTTCATGTCCCTGAAAATCTACCCCAAATATTTTGCTCAGTTTGAGAAAATTTTGATAAACCCATACAGTCGCATCCATCTCTTTCTCCAGAAAAGATTCTTGGGTTCAACATACTCGACTTCCCAATTTCCCAACTAGAATTGAGATGTAGTTGGTTCTCATACTCAATTTCAAAAATAAGATGAGGTTCCCCAGTTACGATTAGTGGCAGAGCATCGTCTACCTTCATCTCTTGTAACCCTTTTCCTTCTTCTTCTCTTGGCTCCTCTAGCATCAGTATCTCCGCATGTGGTGAACTCTCCAAGTTTGCAACTATATCAACAAATCTCTGTTGACTTACCTGGTTGGCTTCTTGATGTGAATGCAAAATAACTTTCGTCTCTTCTAGAAAAAAGTCGAACCTTGTGATCTATGTGGGCTCCAGATATGATACATTACAGATGGCTTGGGCTGCACAGTCAGGCCCAATTGTATTTTTAATAGCTGGCCCATTCCTGGGCACACTGGATTGGCCCAAAAGTAAAGTTTTTTCTCCCAAACCATCCTCCTGCATTGCACGTGCCTTTCCCTTATTTTTGTCAATGTACTCAGTACACCCCACGTGGTACTTACCCGTCCTATCTACAGCTAAAAAGCTATCTTGTACCCCTTCTACCTCACAGGTTATCTTTGTCCGACGATTCTTCAGAGGCTTTGATCCTGCGTCATCTCCGGTTATCTCCCTGGAAATCTCTGGCCCTAGTTCAAAGCGAGTTTTCCTTCCAGCCCATATTAGTATGAAAAATTTGACCCCCCCCTCTCTCAATGACTACCTTGTTTGGTATATTCCGGCCATCTCCTGCTACTTGAATTCTTGCCCACTTAAGATAATTTTTGAGTTCTGTCTCTTCTTCCGTAGCTTTCCACCCACCACAAAGGTCTCCTATTTCTTTGAAAATCTTCTGTGACCACAAATGTAGGGGGACTCCCATGGCTCTGATCCAGGTACTTTTGACAGATATGAAGTTGGAAAGATAACATGTGATGAGGTTCCACCATTCGAGATAAAGCTTGGATTTCTTCCACCTCTATTCTCCTTGGAGAATCTGCTCAGCCATGTTTCTGTTGGGAAACTCAAATAGAAAAAGATTCTCAGCCATCTCATACATGTTCACTCCAAATGTTATTTTCCACGTTATACATGCCCATCTTCGAATGTCTGATAGTGTAGATCTCTCAGTTGTTTCCTTCCCAAGGTATCCAATGATACATCTTGTCTGAAGTCCGTTATCCTTCATCCCATTTGGCTCCAGGATCGTGATGCCTCCTTTATTAATGCTGGTAACTGCTTCATGAAGTTTTTTTGATTGCCATTTACTCTCTTGTACTGCTTTGGCATAGGGGTAGTTTGTTTCAGAAAGTCAGGGTGGCCCTGTGAAAGTGAGTTGGGAGGAACATTTAATGAACCTTTCTATCTTAAATGCATTGTCTCTCCATCCTGCATTCAAAGGAAGTTCAGGGATTATAATGACCTCACGATTGTCTCTTTTCAGAGACAATATACTCAATTATCTCCCATGGTCATTGTACTTTCTAGTACAAAAATATTCAGTTAGTCTGTCCTTATTCTTCCATTTCCGTACCACGTTCTTCTGGTCATTAGAAGCTTCTTTGAGCACATTACAGACCCATTCCATAGTCTTTTTGCTTAACGTGGAGCGTCTCATCATATTGAGACTTCTCTCCACCCAATCGAACCATGTGTCACTGTTGAAGGTCCATCTGGTGATGTCAAAAGATTTAAAACCAACGTTAAAATAAATTCTGTTTCCCCCCATAAGAAATAACTTTTGTTTAAGAGAAAATTTAAAGGAAAGGATACTATATCAGTAATCACAGTGGGTGAAAACAGGGTGTAGAAAGGAAAGATGTATTTTCCGGTACTGAACGATGCTGGAAAAGGTTATGCAGTACTCAAATACCGGAAAGCACATTGTTCACACCAAAAAAGTATAAAAGTGGTTGGAGTTTGATTTTAATTGGATGGGTAAGCTCAGATTTATGAGGAGAAGAGGCTGTTCTGAAGAAATTTTCCCAAAATCTGGCCAGAAACAGTGTCACGCGCCGGCGAGTGGACTGCCGGAAAACTCCTTCCGCTGGTGCGTGAGGGCGCATGCTTCCTTTTCTGCCGGAGATTTTTTTGAGGGTTTGGTCGCTGAGGAGCTATGTCTTGTAACTTGTTGAGTTGTTAGAGATTGAACTTTGGATGGAGGCTGGAAGATTGAATAACCGAAGAAGAAAGGTTTTACTGTTTTAGGGTTTCATCATTTGGAAGAGACGAAGAGAACTTATGCATCTGCTTCATTCTCAAAAGCTCCTGTATCTTTCTCGATGAAAGAATCTCTCAAAGAAAACACTAACTTCAGGCTTTATTATACCTTGTTTAGTTGTGTGTCTTCTATGATTCATGTTCTAATCAGTTGTATGACTACGTGAGCTATTTCTTTCGTTCTAGTATCCATATTTAGGATTACTACTTTGTAAATTGGCCAAGATGGACTATTTGTAATTAAAATTATTGTTATACTTTATTTAGCTGTAGTCATACTTCACATCTCGAGTACACATCCGCTCTTTTATTTATCATTGTCTTGATTATTTGTGAGCATATGCCTTGTTAAAGATGAATTGTTATTTTAAATTGTTATGATTATGGCACATTTGGACATGTTGAGCGGATTGGTTTGGTTATGCCAAGAGGTTTCTATCGTGCGATCATTGTGATTTTGATATTGTTATGGCACGAGGTTTCTGCATGCAATTAAGGCGACATAATCACTATTATGGCATAAGGTCATTACCATGCAGTGTGTGGACATGGATCTATTCCCCTAGGGTCGCCCTTTTATGTTTTTGTCTTGAAGGCATACACGAGGTTGCGAGAAACCGACAAATTTTTGGTTGATTATGATGTGGGATCCGATGTGATGAGTTTTGAGCATAAAAGTGGATGTTTTGATCATTTAAGTGAACCCGTTATGCCTTATCTTGCATTTTATATGCTTTCTATATTGAATTTTAACATGCTACTTGATGCCTTTGTTATTTGTTTTTGACTTGTTAGTTGAGATAGAGTTATCCATGTTGAGATGATATTTCTTGATATTATCTTTGATGATATTGTATCTATTTTCATAGTCCTGCTGTAAATGATTATGAATTGTACAGGTTTATTTGATTAACTAGGTATGACATGACTTGAACCTCGTCACTACTTCACCGAGGTTAGTGACGAGGTTAGTCTTAATACTTACCGAGTACATGTTGTCTTGTACTCATGCTACACTTCTGCATATTTTTGTGCAAATTCGATCGTTGCCAATAGGCGGACTTCAGGAGTGAGCCTTGAAGTTGTTAGAGAGGACTCGAGGAAGTGTTGCACGATCACTTGCAGACCTTTGGAGTCCGCTTCCCCTATCTTTCATACTGTTATTTATACACTCAAACAATATTGTATTATCGAGAGATTTCATTGTATTGTATTTTAGAGCTCACGACTCCGTACTACCAGGGTTTGGGGATTTAATGTAGTGGTATCTATAAATTATATGTTATCGAAGATTTATTTCGCTATTTATGCTATTTCAGTTATACTTCATCATGATTATATTGGTTTGCTCCATATCGGATGTTGACTTACCTAGACATGGGAGTTAGGCGACTGTTGGTGGAATTTTGCATCGTGATATCAGTACATGCTGATCATTCGAAAAAATAGAAGCAGCAGAAACAGCAGTGGCCATCTAGACAAACAGTCACCAGGCACCAACATTCTCCAACCAAGGACCATATTAATCAAGAAAACATCCTCTGTGTGTGACTCATGTTTGTTCACAGTTAAAGTATGGGAAGACTCCAGCATTTAAATCTATGCCTCTGTTACAAGATTATGGGCGACAACCTGATTAGAGCTTCAAGGGGGAGAGAGAGAATCCTGTCCAAATCAACCCTTGTATATGTATCAGAATGATCTCGAGGAACTCAAATAAAAAGTTCTCATCCCTTTAGCTCATAGAGCTTCGGGGGGGGGGGGGGGGAGGAGTTGTGGACCTGAATACATTTAAAGACAATGATATCTAGGAAGATGACTATCTAAATGAAGAATCACACGTTAAGGAGATAGAGGAGTAACAGATTACCCAAAACAGGTCGAAGGCTTCAAAGCTGTTGGTAACTACTGATAAAGATCACTAACTCAGAAACAAACCATTGCTTATCCCCTTGACAATGGTTCAGAAAGAGAGGGTGAGGGGAGTGTGTTGAGAGTTGTGTACAATGCAATATAAACAGTCAGATCAAAAGATGTAATTTACCAAATACTACCATGAAGTTTCCCTAAACTTCCATTTCTGGCATGACTAAGCAACTAATAGAATCTGGAAAGTGAATGCACTTCCCCATCTAAACCTCAGCAGATTGATTCTCAAATTTTAGATATCAAAAAAGTTGCTCCAGTAAGTTCATAATTGTTCGCCTAACTACTAACATTCAATCTTCATTTCCCTAGATACTAATAGGTAAAATTACCTTATTTCTACCAGGAAAAAGTTTCACTCGGCTCAACCAAATGAATCTGGTGTGCTATTCACATTATAGATTTCCTACAGCAATTTATACTGATGCAATCTGCTTCTTATTCCTCTGCCATCAGTAACACATAAAGGTTTTTATGAAAAGAAACATTTTTGTTTTTCTCCATTGAATATCTAACAATCACCAAAGAAATGCAGCTTGATAAATACCAAAAAGAATATTGGGCACTGTAATTACAAATGCTCTCCATGTTGTTTCTTCTCCTTTAAACCGGAAATACTTCCATTTGATTTGTTCTTTCTATATGGTCATCATCCAGTATATTTGATATATTGATGTTACTCTACTATTGGAATCGCTTATTTTCTCCGAGCCCCATCATCAAGGAAGGCCTACGCACTATTTGCATACTCAATTTTGGCAAGTTTCTCATAATCCTTCTCGCGGCAGGGCAAAGAGCCTCCCTCAACCCCTAAAAAGGAAAATTTACCCTCCAAGAGTAAAATAGAAAAGAAAGGAAAAAATTCAGAAAGCCCGGAAGAGACATTGTAGAAAAGTAGATGCAGTTTGCACGGCAGAGCAGACAAATGCTGTATTTCACTTCAGAGTATGTTTGACAAAAAGGCAGGGGACATGGCACAAACATGTTTTGTGCATGTAAGCAGGGAGTTTTAAATATACAAAAACACTAATCTAAAAAAAAAAAAGCTTAAAAATAATCACAGGAAGCACACAACTTCCAGGTCTAGCAAGAAAGTTGGAGCTGCAAGCATGGACTACATTAGCCAAACAAGAACCTCTGAATATGTTGTAGCGCACTATATTCGTTACATCCATAAACAAAATATCGCTGTACAATGAGTTCCTATATAAAGTGCAAAGAAATTTATACTTTGACATACGCATAGAAGCTGTGAAATTCATTATCCATCTTCTTCAGTAATGTGGCTGGAGTAGTTTCAAAACTTTGAACAATGACTTCAGCGAAGGCACTTTGTACCTTGACATATAACTAACCAAATCACAAACAGCACAAGACATACCGCAGCATCAATGGCAAGAACAATCCTTACTTGGCGGCACCACCTCCTTTGGAAGTTTTGAGAGCCTGATCTAGTCCTCACCAAGCCAAACTCCTTTTGTACCATAGGTGGAGGAAGAACTCCTGCACCTTGATTATTCGGATCAGTAACTCCTGAATCAACCTTAGGTCGTTCCGTAGATTTCCGGTGCTCCTCCAACTCAATACCTCTCATTGCGATTGCATGATCCTTCGTTTTCTTCTTGTCTTGTCTACTAGGCTTGACCAACAAAGGGGCTCTTGTCGAAGATCCACTTCCCTCAAATCGTCCATTGGCATTGTTGCCACCGTGCTGTGGAGGAGTATCTGCTGGCCATCCAGATACATGCTCCAACGAAGTAATCAAACGTCGAATAACAGGAACTAGTTGTTCTTGTAAACAAAGTGAGTTCAGATTCGACATACTCCGGCCAGAACCCTTTCTAGCCACCTTTCTGAATTCGTCCCTCAATTGCTCTAGAAACAGAAGAACTTCACCGTTACCAAGACCCTCGTACGCAATAGCAAAATAAACATACCCTTCTTCCATCAAAAACCCAAAAGTCTTTTTAGCCATGGTCTGAAAATACCACTTATGATAAGGAGGTGTTTTTTCCAAGCACAGTACAGCCAAGTTCTCAACCTCATCATCTCCTACACCAATATATGAATACAGAATTCGACCCCCTTTTGATACTGAGCAATAGTATACTGCATTTTGGATTTGATCCATCTAGACAACAGACAAAATCTAATAATTTTGACTCAGCTAACAAATCTTCCAAAACTAACAGTGGACTAGTAAAAAGCTCAAATTTTTGGAGAGTAGAATCTAAGCAATCCAGATTTGGCAGATAAAGTGGGCAAGAAATTCTTCAACCAAAGAGGCAAAAACCAGAAAATCATCAGCAAGGAAATCGAACACATCAAAGAAATACCAAAACATGCCCTCTGCTAAGTTCTCAAAATCAAGAATGAAGTCCCTCATATCTCATTAATTGAATGGACCAATTAGTGGAGAACCCAAACACTAAAATTGAAAAAAATTACATGGAAGTTTGTGGGTCAAGCATAAAAATCCAAGATTTACTAACTGAGAAGTCAGAATTTACCTGTTTGAGGTTCTTAAGGTCCTGGACCTTCTTAGATGAGCAGACACAGAAGCAGACCAAGTCAATATGTAGGATATAGTTGTGCTTTTTGCTTGTTTTGTTTAAGGAATATTAGTGTTTAATCGTGTAATTAAGGATGATGCTGATGATCACAATTCTACGTACAATAGGATGTCAACACTTGACCAAAAGTTTAAAATTAAAAAGAAGGCCAAATCATCCACCTACCAGTAATTAATATAGTATTATCAACAAGTGCACAATTTCTGATTGGGCATTCTCACAACCACCGGTGGGATTCTTTTGATGAGTTAATATCTAGGGTTTTATGTGTTTGGTTTTGAAATTCATTGTACATTCATAAGAGAGTAAATAAAGTAATATATGTTGAGGTGAAATAAGCAAAACATAAATTGAAATTAAACATGAAAAATTCTTATGTATGGACTCTGATGAAATTTTACAAGAGAATAAAAAAAATTGCGCGTACAAAATGCAAAACAAGTTTGTAAGCAATATTTTTTTGGCTATATTTTTAGGCTTTTTTTTGGGGGTTCTTGAAAGTATTTTGATTGTAAGAAAGTTGTGATATATAGAGATTCATATATTTTATTTCATATGACCTCGCTACCATTTAGTAAGTCCATTTTTTATTTTATGTTTTTCAAAATTTTATTATATTTTGTTACTATTAAAAGTATGATTTATTGTGTTGTAATGGAGTAGGTGAATCTATTGTAAAAAAAATAAAAATAAAAAAATAAAGAAATCAATATCCGATTAAGAATAAAATTAGATAATACAATTCTCGTCCATAAGTCTTTTTAGAATAGATAGAACTTTTTTTCTTAATGTAAATCTTGCTTAGAAAATAAAGAGATTGACATCGAATTGACAACAAAGAAAGGTTTCTTAACCTATCTTAGATCAAATTCGAATTGCAGTCGCCTAAAACCAAAGCTTTATAATCTAGTGGTATTAAGGTTTTTCCTACACAATAAATGTCAGTCTTGTTTGAAGTTTGTTGGTATGCCGGCCGTAGAAACTTGGCGTAGTGGTGTCACACGGATTTCTTATCTAAACTTCCTCTTTACCATTTCCTTGCCTCATCTCTAAAATAACGAGAAAAAAGAGAGAAGAAAATCTATAATTAAGATCCATATAAAGACATTCTCATATTGCCAAAGATACAATAATAACAAAATTTATCCGAGTTAGACGCGTCCCTGTCAGTTTGTACAAAGTTATAACTAAACATGGTTGAACTGGTAAAATTTTGACCTATGAGCAAATTATAATATTGTTTCAAGCTGATGCTTTAATGGTTGAATATAACTAAAGATAAGTAAAAAATATAGAGAAAATAAGTAATAAAATCGAAAAGCCAGAGAGTTCTGCGGAAATCACCCTAGATGTGAATTCTCCTCTGACCGTGACATTTCCAGGGCAACTGAATAGAGAATTGTGAAGATTCATACAATGCAGTGAGAATTCCTCAACATTACCAATAAGTAAAAATTGACAATGCTGTTGTGACTAAGAGAAAGACATAAAATACAATGTCCATCAAATTCACTTTTTCATAACACAACATTATTACATGGTACAACTCTACAGAAACTTTTAACATTCGAATAAACATGCATCAAAGAATGCCTAAGCTTGCTTCAGCTTCATTTTTTCCCAGAGAGATGTAAAATGGCCAAATCTTTTGAGGTGTTTTGCCTGTCATTTCCCTGAGAAACGTCGAAACATCATGAGCACAAAACCAAGATATGATCTGTAGTAATATATGACTTTGCTTCAGCTTCTTCTTCCCCAGAGATGGCCAAAACTTTAGCGCTGTTTTGGCTCTCATTACCCTGAGAAACGTCGAAACTTCACCAGCATGAAAACAAGATATATGATCTGTACATGCACTAGCTAGAGATGACTTTGCTTCAGCTTCTTCTTTTCCCAGAGAGAAAAAGTGTCGAAAAAACAAGCTGTTTTGCCTCTTCTTCTCCCTGAGAAATGTAGAAACTTCACGACCACAAAACAAGATCTGATCTCTATCAGATTAGATCTTCAGAATACTAGACTTATATATGTATCACACTTATCCTGCACCATGCCACTTGCTATTGTTCCCTAACACGCAAAGCATTATCCTGCACATATCAAATTTTTCCCTAACAATCGAGCATCAAACTTTCCTACATGGCATCATCCCTCGAGTCCCTCTCATGGTCAACATTGTCAACCTCACTTGCATCTTGACTAGAGGGTTCAATTACCCTTTCATCTGTGGTTCTGGGCTCCACATTTAATTGGCCTACTTTGGGGCACTCGGAGCCACTACGACGAGATGTTTCATCACCACTTTCCTCAGCTGATGTTCTATCGCTGGTTTCTGCTGTAGTATGAGGTATTTCAGTGGAAGCTTTAGCTGGAGTAAGGAGGGATTGGCGGCAGAGGGGGCATGTGCTATGAGTGGCTAACCAGAGATCAATGCAATCCATGTGAAATGTATGCCCACACACAGGTATCTGTTGAAGTCTATCATCTGCTTGGTAATCACCTAAGCACACTGAACACCTGTAACAGCAAAAGAGAGAACTCCATAAGAAACTGAGATATAACTAAGAAATCGAGATTTAACAAAACAAAGAACTTTTGAATTAAGAAACTAAACAAAGAGATTTTTGAAATTCATGGACAATTACCACAAATATTGTGAAAGAACTTTTGACAAGTATGGGAAGAAATTGGAAACTAAAACTCTTTCAAATACCAAAATAAATTACTCGATAGTTCTTTCCAGCATGAGCTTGAAGCACATGTCATCAGATTTCCCAGAAAAACTAATCACAACAACCACTATAGTAATTAAAGTTTTGGGGATAACTTCTATAAGAGAGCAAAAACAACACAGCAGCAAGTGCAACAAATATCTTAGATGAAGTTGCAGCAATTTCATAGAGACACAGACTATTCATGATAAATGCATTTTATGAGATGAGCCTTCTGCTCCTATGATGAAATTTTTTATTTGACCCCATATATTATTAGTTTAAGAGGTGCATTTGTTTTTCTTTTTAATCAAAAAAATTGTTAGTGAGGACAATATTATTTTAACAAATTTAGGTACCAATAAGGGTGGCAATTTAAGCCCAACCCGCCAAAGGTTGGGCCGCTCAATGACACGTCCATTGTTGAACTTACCCCATCTTGACCCAGCCCATCTAAAGTTGGGCTGATTTTTAGCCCAAATTGATCCGTGAGCAACTTAAAATATCTACAATAATTCTTTTTTCTTGATATGTTATATATGACCATAACAAAAGAAAAAAGTCTTATTTGGCAAGTAAATAATTCATAAGAAAACAACACGCATTAGTTAATCTCGGTAAGAGTTGGGCTATGACCCAAATTTTAGCCCATCTTGNCAACAATTTGACACCCCTAGGTACCAGTATCTCTAGATCTGCATATAGTTGAGTGTCGTGACATTCCAAAGAGGCAGCTCTTTGCAATGAGATTGATGAAAGTCCATCAAGACACTTTTGCAGTGAAGTTGATGAAAATCCAGTGGAATCGTTTAACAACATGGAGCTTTCTACTGGCATCATCTTTTGCAAATATTTTTCTCAATACTGCTTCAGACTAGGCAAGCCTTTGCAGCTCCATGCTTGCTCCCTAATTAAGGTTTAAAAATAAAAAGCCTCAAGGAGTTCAAGAAGTTCGATTACAGGGGTAGATTTGTGCAATGTGCTCTTACTTACCCTGGGAAAGAAAAAAGGTCGGATTTATCTGTTTTTCATTTATTACTACCAGTATCAAGCCCAGTGATTTCCAGTGAACTTCCATGCTTGTTTATTCCTTTATCCTACTTTATACTCTACTACGACCCCAAAATAAGTTACATCCTATGCAACATAATACCCCCACATAAAATACAATAGCAAACAACCTTCCATAAATCTCTGTCAATCATTTATCAATCAACCACACCTCAATGGCTCAATCGCAAATCAATTAGGTTATGATTCTTCTTAATACCACTGCCCAGGTCAATTTCATTCTGATACTACAAATTAGGCGTCTCTAAATCTCAATAACTAGTTTAATATCAACTAGTTATTATCACTAATATGGAATTTCTTACTTCCACCGTCTTTTATTTTGAGCCAAGTCTCATTCTATTTTCTTTTTAATAGATTATTTAAGATCTTGTGAGACACTTCCCTCCATGTAATTTTAGGTTCACATCTTTTAACGCCTTCAATCATCATAATAATTCAAAAAATCAAGAAAGACAAAGGACTGACTCTTACTGTGTGTCTTTGACTGAGAAGCTCTCTGTGAACACAATAATTGGTAACATCTCCCTCACCTCCTTCTTCAACCCCAATTCACACTGTTGCAACAAAATCAATTAAAACAACAATTCCAAGATTTATATAAAAATAACTCCTTTTTATTTTCCTTATACATACCCTTGACAATTCATCAGCTCCCGTAGCGGCGGTGTGCTGCAACTGTGGACTCCTCATCCTTAAAGAAGACCAGTCAACCCTCCGACGGCGAAGATAAAATATGTAAAAAAACAACAAAAGTACAAAAGCAAAGAAAATGGGAACTGAAAAGATGAAAGCTTGATAAAGCTTCAAGTGAGATGAACCTTCAACAGCACCAGTAGTGCTGGAATCAGAGTAGCCTTTTCCAGTATAAGACATGACCACAGACAATGTTTCCTTAAATTGAATCTTGGTACAACAATAACAATTGTCCCATATAAATGTAGTGCAAGAATGAAGAAGACCCAGATGGGTAAATGTAGCTTGGAATAGGAGAAAAATGGCAAAGGAAAAGACAGACCAAAAAAGATAAAGAGATAGGTGCAGTGGAGATTTAGATATGTAATACTTACAAATTATATATAATGACATGAATTAATTACTAGTACTACAAAAGTGTTTGGGTATTGGACTTGGGAGTCTAGGTGAGTTACTAACTCTTCTTCGAGTCTTGCAAGTTGCAAGTAGTCCAACTTCATGCTTCCTTCTTTATGCAGAGCAGACAAAAAGTGGTGGGGTTAGGGGTTGGGGGGGGGTGGTGGAGGCTGGGG